AGGTGCTGAGGGGACAGTGCTGCACAGGAGAGGTGCTGAGGGGACAGTGCCCCGCTGGAGCTGTGCTGAGGGGACAGTGCTCCACTGGAGCGGCGCTGAGGGGGCAGTGCTGCACAGGGGAGGTGCTGAGGGGACAGTGCCCCACTGGAGCGGTGCTGAGGGGACAGTGTCTCGCAGGAGCGATGCTGAGGGGACAGTGCTCCATTGGAGCGGCGCTGAGGGGACAGTGCTCCATTGGAGCGGCGCTGAGGGGGCAGTGCTGCACAGGAGAGGTGCTGAGGGGACAGTGTCCTGTAGGACTGCTGCTGGGGAGCGGCTCGCGGGACACCCAGGCAGCGGGCGCAGGGGCCTTTGGTGAGGCGGGAGCCCAAGTGGGCCCAGGGTGAGGGCTGGCATTGAGTGACCTGTGCCCCTGAGCCTCCCCTCTGTGCTGAGGAGTGTGGAAGTGGGAAATAGCATTGCGAGCTTTACTTTGTCCTTCGAGTGTATTCAGTTTCCTGCTGTGGAAGGATTTGCTTTCTGCAAACCTTGTTTGTGAATTCAGTGCTGAGCAATTGCAAATTGTGAATTCTTTTGGAAGATTTCAGGCGCATTAACTGTGTTACGTCTCTGCTGTGACTGGGGTCTGCTTGGTCCAGTCCAGCAGTCCCACTGAAGTGGGAACATCCTGGCATGCCAGTAATGTTTCAGTTACTGATTTGTGGAACTCCAATATATGTTGACATACATTGTCTTGTTATACAGCATTAAATCAAAATGTCATCATCATCACGGGCATCCTTGTCTTTACCTGTACATGACTGTTCTGCTCCTTCCTTGGACTTTGATCTTCAGGAAAAGTTTATTCTTCACACTGTTGAGGCAAGTTCATTCTGTTCCTGTTAGGTTTGATTTTTTAAACTACATTTGTTTTTTTAACAAGGTTAAAACATACTTCCTAGTTATAGATGTGAAGTAGGTGATATTTCAAAAACGGGCCAAGTGACAGTGCTGGACATGGCAACATTATACTGAAACTATGGCAAAATTCTTTGTTCTTTCCTGCTTATATCAATTTGCTATGATAAATGAAGCATGATGTTTAATCTTCCAATGTGCCATTTTCACTGGAAGTAATTAAATTCAAGAACTTGGTTTTGGTTGTATATCAGAGAGTTGCACTGTGTTACACAAGCTGAGGTCTGCCAGGAAATCTAATCCCGTAATAAAACAAGACATACACATATATAAAATAAAAAAACCTTAGATGTTTGATTGTACTTGTTTGCTGTCAGACCAATTGAAAAGAGAGCAGTCTGCATTCTGATTCTGTGATTGTTTAAGATGGGAACTTCCTGAATTTGTTACTCATTTTCTCAATTATATGAAGGGCAATATGGATATAAGAGCTGAAACTCTTAGTCTGACAAATCCCTTTGATGGAGATGGCACACCTGGCACAGGCTGAGCACAGGAGAAATGGGTCCTGGTGGGTGGAGAAGGCAACACAATCCACTTCTGAAAAAATAATGAGCAGTCAGTGGAGTACTGAGTGGAGTAAACAATAACTTTGTGCTTGGTGAAGGCATCAATCATTCTGGCGTGCTGGGGTGGAGGCAGGGGAGAGGTGTTTGGGGAAGGGGAGATGACAGGTTGCTGGTACCTGATAAGGAAGTGGAGGGAATGGGATTCATTTAGGTTTTAGGTCTGATATGGCTCTGGACTTGCCATGGCATGGGCACCATCATTTTCTTGAGCAGCTGGGCCTGGTGAGAAGCTTTTCCAGTTTGGGAAAAGAGGAAAGCCATTGCTGCCTCCAAAGTGGAAGAAGTCTGCTGTGAAAAACAGCAACATGGGAATCTGAGCAGCTCTTGGCCTTCACCTTTACTGGAGATAGTCTGCCTTGGCCTTGTGAATTAGCTGTGTTCTGTGAGCAAACTGTTTGGGGGTACATCCTGTGATATGGCAGGCTTTTATCCTTGGGGAAAGTCCTAAATGATTCTTTAATCTTTAAACTTTCTCTTAAAGGATTCTTTGGAGGAGCTGACTTGTTTTATGTTGATATCCTTGAATTAGCAGTATCAGTGACCTAACTGTGAGCAAAACTAAATGTTACATAATTATGAATGCTATTTCAGGGAAAAACACGTGTGCCACCAGGAGAAACAGGAAAACTGTGTTCACTGATTCAGCCAGATAAAAAGGATTGTCACAGAACTACACAAGCCATCCAAGATGGGAAGTGTTTTACTGATCTGAGCAAAGAATCTGACAATCTAGAACACCAAGTAAGAAAACATGTAGGGCATAAACACAGAATCAATGGAAATGTACATTTCTTACACTAGTCTGAAAGAAACATGTTGTCATATAATCCATATAATCTTTATAAGACACATTGTGGGAAGATTGTTTTGTTATGTCCCATGCACAAAGAAAATTCTTAAAAATTTGGAAGGAGTTTGTTGAATTATGTCTGTTAAAACACCTGAGTGAGTTCCTGTGTAACAACAGACATGTAGAACTCACATGTGGAACAAACACAGAAACCTGATGAAGATTGTAGATTGCTCTTACAATTAAATGTAATTTGTCATTACTGACTTTCTTAACTCTCTTTGAGAAGCTAACAAAATGGGTGTTTATTCCAAAGTTTATTTTTTAATTTTCAACTTAATTTTCAGGTTTTCATAGACATTGCTAGTTGTCTTACAAGCATGAGGCTTTCTGTTGGTCATTTAACAAAAAGAAAGTTCAAAAAGAACAAACTGTGGGGAAGACTGTTTCCTGAGAATGGAAAGATAGTGTGATAAATTTAGGTTTCCGGTCACTTCTCTCTTCTGGGAAGCCTTCTAAGTATTTTTGCTGATAAATCAGTGTCAGGCAACAAAACACCATTCCTGTTTATATATTATTTTTTGGTGACAGCAAATCTGATTCAGTACAGTCAGGAAAGATTAGGACTTGTACTGAATACAATATTTATAAGTTTGCTGTGCATGCAAATGTGGAAACCTGGATGCAGAACTGAGGTCCATGGTTTGACTTTACAGATAGGCATAGGATCAAGATGACAGAACATTATGAGGAATGTTCATACATGCAGGCCAGGATAAGATGAAGGAGTTCTAGTCAAATTTTGATACCAAAGTTTCCAACTTGAGTTTGTGGGTTCATCTTCTCATTAGTGAAACTAAAATGTCTTGGATTTACAGTCTGAAAGCCACACAAGTCTGCTGTTTTAAAATAGAAGTTGTGCACGCACACACAGAGTAGGACATTTTAAAATAAATGTTTAGGTGACAATATCATGGGCACATAAATTCTACAAAGAGTTAACTCAAATTGATTTTTGTGATCTTCCACCTTATGCTTTCTAGCTCAGTCTTCAAATTCTCATAACTGAGGCTCCTGAAAGGCTTTAGCACTTAATATTAGTCTTTGAAATATTGTGAATTCTACAAATGCTTTTACCCTTTAACCACATGCTTAAATAATACTTATCAATGATATTTAGAGCCCTTCTAGGTAAAATAAAGAAATAAATAGATGTATGGAATGACCCTGGTTTGTTTCTTCAGCTACAAAGTTCCATGCACAAAATAAATTGAATCTTTAGGTTTTAATCACCAAGTAGCTTGTGAGTATGAGCTTTTCTAGTCATGTATACCAGGTTTAAAAATGTAGCAAACTATATGTAACCACTTTAAAACTATTGAAAAATACAAAATCAGTTATAATCAGAATAAATTTTTAATGTTTCTTGTGTTGCAGTTAAACAGTAAAAATATTGACACTTTGATGCAGGAGCTAAGTGAAAGTGAAATTCAGAATACTGTAAGTAAATTAAAATTTGATTCTCTCTCTTCTAAGCTGAATATCTGAAATTGGCTACCTTGTAGAGTCATACAATTTCCAGTAAGAGTGGCAAAGTGGGAGTATTTGTGATTTACCATCACAAAATGGAATCTTAGTTTTACATCTGAAATGTCTATCACTGTGCATTTCTGATGCTTTGTTGTGTACAGACATTAAAATAATTTCTTTGTTGGTTTTTTCCCATGAAGAATCTCAGGAAAAAAATACTTGAAAGGGAGAAACAGATTAAAGAACTTTCATCCATGCTCCAGTGTGAAAAAGTGAGTGATCAGTTCCATTAGAATGAATATTTTCTTCCAACATACTAGATTCCCAGTTAAAAAAATATAAATTTTGAGTAAAACAATTATTTCAAAGACCTATGAAAAACATAAAATCCTGAAAGGTGTTTCCTACAGATTTATCTTAAAACCACCAAAACTGTATTCAAACCAACTAAGGATACAGTTATTCTTAACACTAATATCCTAAGGTGGCTTTTGACTTCTCATTTACTGATTTGCAATATTCTGGGGGAAAAGTATTTATAAGGAATAATATGGAGTGAGCTAAACAGATACTGCTCACAGCTGCTTTCCATGGCTCTGTTAGGAAAGGTAGTACAGACAGCAGAGCTAATATCATCAAAGGCTGGCAGGTCTGGTGAGAGCTCATTCAAAAAGAAGGGGCTCAGTGCAAAAACAAGCACTGAAAGGGGAGAACTTTCCTGTATAAGAGGGCGCTGTAAAAGTTGGAAAGTTATTTTACTGGCAGTTTGGCAATCTGTGTTACAGATTGAATATCTCCAGGGCAATAGTGAGGGACAGCATAGGCTCAGTTAAACCCTTCAGGATTAGCAGTGTACTTTGATATTTGTAACTCCTTGCAGGTTTTTAAGAGCCATGGTTCTTCTTTCAGAGTTTTTTTTTTTGTTTGTTTGTTTGTTTGGTTTTTTTTGCTTAACCAAATGAACATATCACTTGACTGCTGGATATTAACCTCTATTGACCAGCTGGTCATAATAGAGGAGCCTTTGGGGGCTCTTGTCATGTCTTTGCCTTTATCTTGAAGTGAAGGAGCACATTTTCATGGAAACATCTTTTTGCTTGAGAATAGAAATGCTGAACAGAAAAGACTATAAAAATTCTGGAGACCCCAATGCCATCAGACTTCAGTGTTGGTGGGATCTATGAGGCACACCATGCCCTAACTGGAGACTACCTAATGTTGGACAATTTAGGGTGCCTACCATCTGAAAGGATAAATAATTTTCTATGCTGTCCCTTGTTTCTTCTTACATTAATTTCAATAAATGGCATTTTCATCAACACTTGACTGAATCTGCCTTTCTTACTGGTGTCTATAATGAACACTTTCTCTGGTACATCCTTTTAGTCTCTTGCAGTCTATACTGATAACACAATATTTATCTATCTTATTACTTCTTACTTAGAATGAGCCAGTAGAATTAAACTGAAAGAAATTTCATAGAATCATCTGATCTGAGTGCTAGTGACATGTTTCCTCTTCCCTTGTGATTTACATATCCCCCAAAATTGGAGTTTGAATTAAATGTATCAATAGTTCTAATAGGAGATGAAGGTCTTTGGAATTTAATGAAGTCAGTTCAGGTCTAGTTAGAGCACAGCTGATCAGTGTGGCTCAGTGTTAGTCATCCTGCTAGCTGGATGCCTTTCCCTAGCCTGGATGTCTGAGTTCATCCTTCCAGGCCTTATTCCTGGTACTTAAACTCAGATTAAATATTATACATAAATTAAACATCAGTTGTTTCAAGTTGGTGATTTCTGTTTAACATTAATACAGTTAGTAGCAAGTTACTGCTTGTGAATATACTTGTAGAGCATGTTTTTTCTTTTCCTGGTTTTGAGGACATTCAAATGTCAGTTAGAAACTACAGCATAGTAGAAAAAATACAGAGAGCCTCATACAGCATTGTACAATAAATTTGTGTTTATCTTTCCTAGATCAAGATACAGAGACAGGACCACCTGTCAAAATCAGTAAAGGAAGTACAAGCTCACCTGCAGCGTCAGATTGAAAGGAAAGAAGCAGAAAATTATGAATTAAAAGTGAAAATGCAGGTCAAAATATTTTTATTTGTGTTTCAGTTAAATAGGGAAAAAACCCAAAAACAAACAAACCTGTTTTGAAAGCAAATTATTGATAGAAGAAAAATCCCAAACAGTTAAAACTGCAACCATTTATATTCTGCAAGATCTGCCTGACCACACTATTTGAATTGCAAGGTTATTTGTTGGTGTTTTGTCTTTTCTCAACTTATGCACACTTGTACAGTTCAGAGCAAAGTGAAATGTGCATAGATGTGTTTGCACTCACTTAACTGCACTGTCTAGAAGTTTCCATATGGTCAAGAGATAAGCAATTCCCTATGGTGACTTCCTGTTGTAAGAGAGCAGTGACAGCCACACCCTGTTTCTTATTGTCTGTGAAGAATCGATGTCTCTTAGTACTGACTGAAAGTAAAACACTGATGACTAATGCCTAATCCACTTTGTTAAAGTAGGTTAAATTATTTCCATCTTCTGTTCTAAAAAGCACAAGTTAAATTTGAGCATTTGAATCAGTTACTGGCTTTAGAAAAAGGCAAGGAGGAGGTCATGTGTGAAAGGCTGCAGCTGTATGTGGCCTCAGAATACAGTATATGAAACTTATCAAGAACATAGGCATGAATGAGAAAACATTGGCTAAAAACAATGTGTTTCTAATTTCCAAACTCTTTTACTAGCATACATCCCCTGCTAATTGAATCATTTGAGATTGTCACCCAACATGTAGCAAGGCAATTTCAAATCACATGTCTATGTCTGCATAAATGTCTCATGTTTTCTTCTAAATAAAAATTATTTTCTTTTTCTACCTAGTACAATTACAGAATTCCAACAACATTTTCATTGGATAAAATAACTCAATATGTAGCTGTATTGCCATTCAATTTCTATTTAAAAGTTTTGATCACTTTCAGAAATTGCTGAAGTCGTTTGCTAGCTTAAATCCTGGAGCTGATTTTGTTAATAACTAGACAAAAGCTTGCAAAAGCTTAGCATTGCCCTTATGAAATTAGTTCTCAATTCGAGTTTGCCTCAGCCACTCGCTAATGCCCAAAGCATTTATTCTTAGTGTGATTCTGACCTCCTGTGGTTATAACAGGGGATGGCAGCTGTTTACTTACACTGACAGCTGAAATCCATACATAAACTGAAATTTTGTTTGCTGTGTTAATCCACGACCTCAAGTCACATCTTTCTTTATTAGGTGCCCTGTAAGTTTTTATATAGGAAAACCTTTTTGTATATATGGGTATTTTTTGTAATTTCCCTTTTTTGTTTTAAGTAGTACTTCTGCTTTTCGGTGAATCCTGGTACCTGAGGCCATCTTTCACTTGGAAAACCACATACATTTTGCTTTGATTCTGTAAAATTTTGGACCATTAGCAGGAACTTTACTGAGAGGTACCCATAATATGCATATTTTATAGCAACTCTCAATGAGTACCTTGAATTAGGCTGGCCCATCCACAGGTTCAGTAGTTAACTAGTAGTACATAATGTAGTGTCAGACCTAGGCTAAAAGGAATGCATTAATCATTCCTACAATTTGGATATTTATCACTGAACTAAGAAAGTTGGCACTGCTGGCTTACCTAAATTGCTGGAGTTTGGTGGAAGAATAGTAAAAGATATGAACAGGACTTACACTTGTCTTTCTGAAACTAATTGTCTATTGGTAGCTTGATCATTTTTGATAAATGGATCTGAGATTCTCCTTGAAACAGTCTGGTATTGCTCTAAATGAATATCATCATGTAGTGTTGATATCGTGCCTTGCAGGTGGAAATTCTGCATCCATTTGCAAGAGCACACAGGCATGGTTAGATTGCTGCCTTTCCCCTGCCCCTTCTCAGCCTCCTCTTTTCATCTTGGTAAAGACTTTCTCCCTGTGTTTTTCTTCTTGACTGTTGTACTTAGCTAGCTCCTTGTATCAACCACAGGATTTGAGATACCAAAATTATATGGAAACAGATGTTATAAATGCAACAGCTCTTCCTAATTATTTTATAGTACAAAATTATCTGTAAGGCTTTGAATTTGAATCGTTGATTTTAATTATGCTGCAGACTCTAAAAAATAAAATAGCAGAGTGGAAACATCAAATTGGTGAATACAAGTGCCAGAAGTTAGCCTTAAAGGAAACAAGTGAGCAAAAGAAGATAGCTCTGGAAAAAGCAATAAGATCCCAGAAACAAAGAGCTCAACTCTTAGAAGAAACTGTGAAAGATGTAACCTCTAAAATAAAAGAACATGTGAGTGACTATGCTATGAGCAATGTTATGTTGTATGGTTTGAAATTAAACAAATGAAAGACTTTCACCTGTGGAAAATAGAAAAATTTGTTTCATTTTGCTGTGTTTGTATGTCTTTTGTTTTGCTGCTCATTTCTTAAGGAAAAGGTTGCTATAGGTGTCCTGAAAGCTATTACTACTAACTGCTTTTGTTTTGTTAAAATTTAGTGGTTGTCTTAAGAGGTTGAACATTTTAAGCTGTAGGAGGTAAGAGGAGTGTCATCAGCTTTTGGTTAAACCTTTCCTGGTCCTCCTGTTAGTCCTCTGTGGATAAGCACTGACTAACTCAGAAATACAGTGTACTAACTGAGAATCCATGGCTGAGGTTTGAAGTGTTAGTTTTCTTGATTTATTAATATGTGATGTCTCATGTGGTTACTTAGCTTTTAGTTTCTAAGCTGCTTGCTCTGAACCTTTTCCAAATCCAAACATAAAAGTTCCTTAATCCAAGTTGTTCCTTGGAATCTTGCTTTGCCTATCAGTAGTTTTATCTATATTCATTTAAGGGATTTTACCTAATGCTTAATTTCTTACCCAGCTAGCATTTGTCATTCTTATGATATTTTAGCACAATTTTATTCATTTATTATTAATGTCATTTATATGTAGTAGAGATGTATTAAAGACAATTTTTTTTTGTAAGAAAAGATTATCATCCTAAATTTTGAAATGTTGTATTCTACAGTTGATATACAGTACCAGGGTTTAACTACGTCTCTGCCTTGAAAATAAATCTGTACATAGATTTGATTTTTTAAAAATGTGGGGAATTTTGTTGATTTTATTTTGAGATGAGAGAAAATTTATATTGATTTGTACAAGGGAGATCCAATAAAAGTTTTATTTTAAATATTTCTATTATCTAAATTTTATAGAATTAAATGGCATTCTTCAGTGACATTCTTTTGTTACATAATTTATAATTTCTGCATTCTCTAGGAAGTCAAACTGGGTGAGATACTGTCAGCTTCTGATGTCTGGAAAAACCAGCATGATAGAATAGTTGAAGAAAAGACAATGTTAGAAGTTCAAATAGAAGGTCTTGAGAAGTAAGTTGGACTGTTGATCTTTTTTGTTTATTTATTTCTATGGTCACAGGATGTTGATATTTAGTAGTGCAATACTCATTGTTGACAATGTAAATGAGTTTATTAATATTTTAAAATTCTGAGCAGAATTTGGAAGTTGGAAATGAGAACAAATTTAAGATTTTTAGCCTCCTCTCTGTTGCATTTCACTTCTTTTGAAGGTTTATTCCCCTTTACCAGTAAGGAACATATTCCTTTTCCTGCATACTTCTGATCAGCCTGAACTTGCTGGCAGCTCCTATGCAGCCTCCACATAACCACTTATTTAATTACTGATTCAACAGCTTGAGTGTTAACCCTTGTGTTTACAGAACAGAAAAAGGTTCTTTGTCTTGTAGGTCCTACTTCAGAGTAGTGATGGCCAAATTATTTCAGTTTCCCTAATGCCTCACCTCAGTAGGGGATAGAGAGGAGTTCTCAGATGCCATTCAAACAGTTCACTGATATAGAGAAAAGCAGAACAAAATGATCCAACCTTATTCAAACTACACAGTCAAATCTTAATGTACATGAAGGATATGTTATTTTTTTGAGCAGACAATGACAAACATCCTTTTACCATTTCTGTTGGTAGAAATATAGACTATAATTTAAACCAGCAAAAGAAACTTTTAGATGCCTTTATTCTAGGTCCGAGATAATGTTTATTTCACAGAGAACTTGATTCCTGCTGAAGTATTTAACAACTCACATTAAAATGGCTTGAATATTTTGGTTTTTTCCCAGAAAATCTGGCATTTCTGAAAATACTTGCAGCAGATTTTAAAATTTAACCACAGGGCAAGTAGATGACATCAGTCCAGAAATCTCTCTAGCCCACTGTTGGTCCAGTGTGCATAGGAAAGCATCTAAGAAAGAACAAATACTCATTCTGCTTCCAGCTGGTTTTTGCTGTTTTCATTTCAGCTGAAAATACAAGTCTTTGCTTGAAATGTGCCCTTCTAACAAGACTTGTTCTACTAAGCAGTGTGTGGCTGTCTAAACAGCAAAACAAATTTTGTGAACTTTATTAACCAAAAAAAGCAAAAAATGAGGCCTAGCATAGTTTGCTGCTTTTAAGAAAAGTAAGTAATAACATTCCTAAATAGCTAAGAAGTGTTCTTAGTAGGACATTATGTGATTTACCCTATAAATTCAATATAATTATATTTTGTACAGTGTGCATATGCATAGTTCTCTTGGGAGTATCATTTGGTGTTCTGTAACTGAGCTAAGACACCTTCCTTGGAGTAGAAACTCTCCTCTTTCAGAGTTTATTTCAGAATATAAGCAGATAATCCTTTCTTTGGATGCATAAATGCATTCCCCCTTTTATATATATATACTACAAAGGGGAATGTGTTAAAGTTCAATTTAATTTTCGTAGTGAGAGTTTTGGAAGCATTGTGTATTATAGAGAACTTGCCTGTCTTACAAGTCAGATCCAAGGCCTGATGGAAGATGTAGAAAGAAGGGAGAAATGGAGAAGAAACTCAGAAGAGGAAATTCTTGGAAAGCTAAATTCTGTTAACTCTGAAAATGAAAATATTTACCTTGAAAACAAAAAATTAAAGGTGAGGTTATAAATCATTGTTGAATGGCTCTGCATTTCTCACACATTAATGATCAACCATGTTAATTCTCTTTGGACCTTCTGTCTAGAGACTCCAGACCTGCAGAATAAGGTTTGCTGTCCATTTATAATAGTAAGGACAAATGAGATGCTGAAAATTTTCCAGTGGAAATTTATGGCAAAGCTAGGAACAAGGTTGTCTGATGATATATCTGCTTAATCAGGATGCTGTTTATTTTACTGTCAATAACTGCACAATTTCTTAAGTAGAAATTGTTCTTTTATGTTTGTTAAACTTTCTTTCAAATGAAAGAACTGAGTTTAATTATTAATTTCAATTTTGCAGGTTTTATTGTGCAATAGAAGTGTTCTGATGAGCTGACAAATGAACTATAGGCTATCATTTTTGTTTGACAGAAAAAACACTTACATTACTCTTCCTAGTGCCAGTCACTTGCTGGTAATATCATATTGTAGAATGTGTTATTTTAGTAACACTCTTAACATTTTTATATTTTCTATTTTTGATCAAGGCTTCCCTTGCTACATTGGAGAAAAGTACAGTATCTGTTGAATATGAGTTGCTTCATCTGCAAGAAAAAGCAAAGCTACAGGAAAACCTTGTAGAACACAGTAAAAATGAGGTGACTTAGCATGTTTGAAATCTTCAAGTATGTTTCTTTTTTAAATTTGTAAGCCATTTTGAGGAAATTATAAAGGTTTTGTCTGTAATAAATCTGTTTTGTTGTCATTGGGATTGTACTATTTTTGTAATATTGAGTATGAAAGAAGAAATTGCTATTACAGACCATATGGAAGAATAGTCTCCACACACTTGCAAGTACACATTGTCTGTACTTGAAGCTCATTGAAGCCAACAAGACAAGATTGCTTTGACAAGATTTGCTTGCTAAAAAGCAGGTTAGTGACCCAGTAAACGAGATGTTTAAAAAGTTTGAGTCTGATGTCTTCAGTGGATATACTGATGATATTTTACCTCTACTTGGCCATGTTTTATCTTCACATTCCTAAGAGCATATCAGTATTCAAGTAAGCTCAAGAAATCCAAGTTCATTCAAGAAATATATATTAGGGTTATGAGTATAGGGTTATTTGAGTTGTTTTATTTCAGTGGGGAAATCCACAAAGAAATACCAGTGAAACAAATAAATCAAACTTATAATGGGCTTTTTATCAATTCAGTTTTTGTATTTGGCTTTATCCACACAGGAGTTTTAGAACATTGATTCAAATATGTGTTTATTTATGCTGTAGTATAGACACAATTTCATTGACATTCTTCACTTACTGATTTGTTTTACTCACTGACAAGAGAAAAGAAAGACATGATACAAAATCTAGAGTAGAGCCAGAGAGCTTGTCTTTGGAATGCATCATCACAATTAAAGCTGCAGCCAGGTTCAAGATGGTAGATGTAGTTCCAGGTAACAGCCAGCCTCAAGCAGTGAGTGGAGTGAATTCCCTAGCTCAGGGCTGTAGTGACTCCAGATGGGAAGTGCCAGTGACAGTTTTGTGGGGACAGAGGTGTGAGTCACACTGGCTGCTTCTACAGCACAGCTGCAGCTCATTCTCCATTGTTGATAACACACTGCTGATATGACAGTGCTCTTTACCTGGGATCATTTTGTACTTGCTGTGACAAGTAGGATAATGAAAATAAATAACTTCAAATAATAAATTTTGAGATACTACTTAGAAGTCAGATGTTTTCCTTTATGCTTCATACTAATGATTCTACCTTTTCTATATTTAAAAGAAGGACCTTGCAAATGTATGTGAATAATGTATGTTGTCCTAGGTACAAAAAAGGCAAATTGCTGTGGAAGAATTGAAATCCAGATATGAAACAGTCTTAAATGAAAACACAAAAATAACAGAAAACAAATGCTTAGAAGCAGATAAGGTAAGTTTTTCAGTAGTAAAGAATGTTCCCAAATAATTATGTAGAACACAGGTCTTTTCTACATTTTTGTGATCTTGTTAGAAGTCACAAGGTACTGTCTCTTGGTTTTAAATTTCTGAGTTTTACTGACTGCTATCTAAAGCTGGTGCTTTTCGGATACTACACAATTGCAAACAATGGAACAATGATTTCTAGTCCAATTACTAAGTAGTTTGGCTACTTTTTTAGAATTCCAGAATTCCTTTATCACCTTCAAAAGTGTGATTTTATTGTTGATGATTTTGAAACTATCTTTTTGACCGAACAGTTGTGAAAGTTCTACATGGAAGCAAACCTATTGTAAGTTCTTTTCTTTTTAACTAACAGTTAAGACTGAGACTCCATACAGAGATGAGTTATCAATTTTTCAGCAGATGGAGCTGAGCACTGGAAGACAGCATATTCTTAAGTATCAGAAAAGAACTTGTATCTTTGTCTGTATTTTATAAAATAGGTGACATGTTACTTGTATAGAATTTTAGCTTTATTACCCACCTGAAAATCCATTAAGTGTTACAATTAATTTATGGGTTTACATTTACGTTTTTCTCCTGTGATGCTACTATGCAGGTGAGGCACAAAATGGAGGCTGAGTTAAAGGAGTTAGAACATGTTTGTGACTTGCTGAAAGCAACTGAGGAAAACCAGCAAAAACTTCTGGCCTGGGAAAGGATCTGTGCACAGAAATGCAAAACCCTCAGGGAGCTGGAGCTTCAGGTGGTTAGAACATGCTGATTTCTAAAGATAAATGAGAAAATTATGTGGTAAAATGTCACTGGGCCATTTTGCTATTGGTGTGTGTGACAGTGGTGAGGTTTCCTTCGTTATTTTCTTCATAAATCAAAATTTCTGGGGAAATCTTCATAAATCATAAATCAGTTTCTGGGGAAATCAGATAATGCAAATAAAGCTGTTGCCAACAGTATTTATGTGAATTCATTATGTGGTGAGGCTTGTAACTTTTATAATTAATATATTTTTGATCTTTTTGAATACCTGTGTCCTGAGATGTGTTGCAGAATTCTTCCCTGGAAATAAATGCAAGTCTTGATATTTTTTGTATCTAATAGAACAAATTAATTCTACATTAGTTTTGTTTTTAATGGCAAATTAATAAACCACACAATATTTAATCAGATAAATTATATTCTTGATGATGTATAACATTTTAAAATGTTTTAGTTGAGTAAGTACTTTTAAAATATGCTTTAATAGGATAATTGCAATTTTTAGCTGTATTTAATGCTAATGCTTGTATTTTCTCTAAAGCCTGAAAATGAATTTTCCTGGACTTTTTTTTTCTCTGACATCAATTTCTATGGCAGGGTAGGTTTGGGGGTTTTTTGGTTATTGTTTTTTGTCTTTATTTTAAAGTGCTCTTAAGTTAGAAGAGCACAAATGACAAAGATTTTTAAGTTAGTAGGGTGGGAAAGGGGCCTAATCATCCTGCTATGTCAGCAGGAAGACCACAGCTAAAGTACTGTGAGTCTCTGTGGTCCTATAGACTTTATATAAAACATTGCTCTTGATTTTTTGATTCTTCCAGGAATGTTCATAAACTCTTAAATCAAGCACTTAAACAATAATTAATTTTGAGGTGCAAAATTTATACATCATATAAAACGATGAATGTCATTTTAATCTAACTACGTGTTTCCTTGAAAAAGCGCAGAAGAACCTCTTAAGTATAGCACAATAATTGGGAATATAATCACTAGTCTGTTGGAACAGTAGTTGAATTTGAGCATTAAGTCTTGGTGATTGGTGTACTTTACACTTGACTCTATGACCAGAATTTAGGAAAATTCATTTTGGAGCAATTGCTCCTCTCCTGGGTTCATCTGGACTAATTTCTGCTACTCCCAGTGTGCTGCTGCCTGAACAGCCTGCAGGTCTGATAAACACAATCAGCAGATGAGCTCAGATTGCTGGATGGGACTGCTTGAGGTGGTCCAAAGAATGGTGGTGGTCACCCCTGTAAATGCTGATGTGCCTGATTATTGCTGACAGGCTGCTGACGGGTGCAAGAAAGAGCAATAATCCCATTGCTACTGAGATTTGAAGGAAAATGTGTATAAAAGTTTAGCACACTGGATGCTGGGCAGGAGAAGACTGTCTTCTTGCTTCCTTCAGCTGTTGCTGCTGTATCTCTTTTCATGAACTTGTCCTTTTTTTATATTCTCTTCTTTATGAAATTCTTTGCCCGTGCTGCACTGTTCTGCTGTGATAACTGGATGTATATGCAGTGTTGCTTTTATGCTTGCTGTGACTGTACTGTGAGGGAGCCTTTTTAGCTGGCCCTAATACACAAGGCTGCATGGGCAGCACATGGAGTTTTTTAAGACTTGGTTACATAGGGGATTTTCAGCCTAAATTTTCACACTAAATTTTAGTCTCCAACTTTAGCTAATTTTACTAATTTACTAATTAGTAAAATTAGTAAATTTTACTAATTAGTAAATTAATTTTACTAATTTAAGATATTTTTACAAAGTGCAATAATACAAGATAACATTTACTTGATTATAGTATAGCGTTTGTCTGAATAAACAGCATTTATCTGAAATTACAGTTAAATTTTTGATGGATTTTAATAGACAGGCTTACTTTACTCCAGTAAGATCCTACATAGAGGTCTCTTCAACTAGAAACAAATTGTCATTTTCACAGCATAACCACAGTGTAACTTCTATGGGCAGTCTTTGCTTAGAAGAAGAGATCTGTAACATTCAGAAGAAATATGGAGATCTTCAAAGGTAACTTAAAGAATCTGATCAAAATTCATTCCTACACTTTTCTGCTATAGTGAATTATAATGCACTGATCTGTTTTGTGTAAAGGCAATTAGGACAGGTGGAATATCAGAATGAAGAACTTGCTTACCAGCTCAGGAAAGAAGATGAGAGTCTTCTGAGCAGTAAATTGCAGCTTGAAGAGAAAATTGCAGAATATAATGCATTGACCAGACAACTTGAATCTGCTTTGGAAGAAGGGAGAAAAAGGGTATTGGTGATTTAATACATGTCTCAATCTTGTTTGCTACTTTCTATTTAAAAACAGCATTAAAATTAAGCTTGAGAAAAAAATGTGGGACAAGACTATTTTGCATGTAGGAAGAAATACTAAACAGTTACTGTGAATTCCTTCATGTTTCAAATATGGATGGAACAATTCAATTTCTTTGTCAAATTTGGATACTATGGAAATAAATACCAAGTTTCAATTTACCAGCCTTTTATTATCATTTTTTTAAATTGATAAATCAAAATTCGTAAACCACCTAATATTAAATCCCACACATATGGCAAAAAGTTTCTATACAAAAGCTTAATCTTACCTTTTCCTTTCTTTGTTATAAAAGCCCACAAGAACGTTGGTGTTGAAATCCCTCTGTTTTTAGAGGAAGAACAGATTCTTTATATATTAAGCAGAATTTTATCTGTAAAATCATTTGTAGAAATTATGCAAACAGTAAATCAAATTCAAGAGAAAATGCAGAAATTTAGATTGTATTGAATTATATTAGTTTAATCATAAAAAATGTATGAAGTTATAATTTCAGATTAAAAATGTAGAAATAATCATCTGATTTTTTTTCACTGCTGTCTGAGGATATTTCTTTGGTCTTGAAAATACTGAAACTTTGGCTTAACTTGAAAATAAGCTATAAAGTGTTCCACTCCCACTGTATTACAATTTTTTCCAAATTGAAACAGCTTTCAAATTTAGCCAGAATATTTCTCAGATTTGTTTAAGTCCTGGGCATGGGAAATAAATTAAGTATTAGATTAAAGAATAGGAAATAGAGCTAGTAATGTTAAAATATAAGAAAATAATTTGATTTTGGCTTTAAAAGTAAATATATATGTAATACATATATAATTTATAAATATATTTTGTGTGTATATATATAACATATATAGCCTTTCTCTCTCATTACTTTTATAGGTAGCTGAAGAATGGGAAAAAATGTCATACAGAGAACAAGCCTTTCAGACAAAACTGATGCTTCTTGAAGCTGAAGTGAGAAAGAGGCAAGAAGAAAAAAAGCAACTCCTCTGCTTATTTCACCATGTGAGTAAATAATGCTGTTTGTGATTCAAGAAATCCCCACATCACCATTTACAAAACCAAGTTCCTTTTCCTGAAAACACACTACTAATACAGTGGAGACACAATTTTCAGAGCAGTAAATTAATTCAACTTTGCAATATACTTTGTACATTGACATTTTCCATCAACCTAACAGATGTCCAATCTAACTAAATCACTTGAATAATATTGAGTTTACAACTCTTACTCAGTCAAGTTTACACAGCAAGATGAAAAAGAAATAAAGTATGAAGTTGTAGTTTCCCTCAGATCAATTATGTTCAGGAAACATCTCTACATTTGATTAGGTGCATTACAATACCATAATGATGTAGTGATAGCTTGTTTTTCTTCCTGAGTTAATGCCAGTAATCTGAATTTATAATTGTTATAAATTATTGTAGGCCTTTTTTTGATTTTAAGTTTATCCAAACATATTCACTTTGGTCCTGACAATATAAAGAAAAGCATCTATCCTTTGAAGCTATTTTTAACACCTTTGCTTTTGTGGAGCCTCTGAAAATATTTACAGGGAAATAAAGCTATAAAAATTAGGTACTTTGTGTCTTAGATTATTATTTTCATTGCTTTATATTTTTTTTCTAAGTTTCTGTGCATTTTTCTTTTTTCATTAGAATGAAAAGCATCATGAAGTACATCTGAAAGAGCTGGAGAACCACCTACAGAAGTCAGTGATCAAGAACCAGAGCATCCAGAATTATGTGCAGTTTTTGAAAGATGCATATGTTACAATGTTTGGCTGAATTCTTTAATCTATTTTATAGTAGAGAAACTTGTCAGGATTGGGCTCCCAGTCTTGTTGAAGACAAAGCCATTGAGGCCTTACATTATTTTGACAGATTAAATTTTTTGATGTTAATTCTTCCCTGGGAAGACATCTGTTGTGGGCAGGAGCAGCAGGTGAGGCGTTGCTATGTGCCAGGGGCTGGGCACACGTGGGGAATGGGGCTGGTGTTGCTGCAGAACCCTTTGTGCTCCCCAGGGCACAGCAGGGCAAGGCTGAGTGCACGGCTGCAGCAGCAGGTGTGTGTGTGTGGGGTGTGCACACAATGTCTGTCAATGTCCTGGCCTGTAAAATCTTACCTGAGTCCTTTTAGTCCATGGTAAATGCAAATGACCACAGATTAGCTTTCAATTCAATGATATCTTACCTATTAAAACAGACAAAAATTGAGATCATTAGGTTCCTTCCCTTTTTTCCCCTGCAGTTTAGTCCCAGTGTAGTCCTACACTACATGGAAGAGTTGCCACCACAAGGCTGTCCCATCCAGCCACTTTTCTCTACATCTCATCATTATGCTCAGGAATGTACTATAGTAGCATTTTATAAATATAAGTAGGAAAAAATTTTAGATACAGGTATAGTTTAAGCTCTGGATGTGCTGATATACCCTGGTGACACAGCTCCAGTGAGATATTTAAGTATTTGTCTGAATTCAAGAGCTGCTGTTCATAAGACTGACCTGTGCCTCAAGTAAAACATGTAAATATTCAGCTGATACAGGATTAATATAAGAAGCAATTCTTGATCTAATTTCAGTTCTAAATTCTAATTAGTTTTGTTGACATATGCTATGATTTGTTTTTCAAAAATAGTACCTTCAGTTAAATATATGTGATTTATTATGTGTACTTAAATAATATATGTTTTTTGACCAAAACCTTAAGTTTGTTTATGCATAGGCAATACCTATTCTATTTCATTGTTAGTTGTTACTAATGTGTTGAATACAGACCTTTTTTTTTGCAAATGCTTATCCATCTTAACAAATACTGATGTGTGCTAATGATCTGTTTCTGTGCACTTTTTAAAAATAAAATTTCCATTTATTCTATATGACATGTTAGTAGCAAATATTTATTTTAAATTTGGGAGGTTTGCATTACACACACACACACAAACATTTGGATTCATTTAGTTCTGGTTGTGCTACTTATAAAATATCAAAAAACCTTTTTGAAAGTCATCATGTATGAAGGAAAGAGTTCAGAAATAAATTGTTCAATCCAGTGCATGAGTGGTTTTCCAGAGCTCATACTGAAAAACTGTACACCTTTCATTAGATTTTTTTTTTCCTTTTTAGTTTGTTTTGTTTCTTTTTATGGTTCTCCATTACCTTTTTGTTGTGTGGGGTTTTTTTTCCATGGTAGAAATAGGGCTGATAGTTGCAAGGATAATTTGGTTTTCCTCAGCTCCGTTTTGAACTGGTGTTAGCTTTCATGTCTTTTGCATTTTAAAAATTAATTTAGAAGAAATTATTGTGAATTTTTTCTTTCTAATAAAGCAAATAATAAAATTTTGTCTTAACTACTGAGGGATTGAGCATTTACTTGAGATTGCTGCTTGTATTTTTAGTAACTGTGTAATATATAGCTAAATTAGTTCTTGCCTTGTTCATTTTGCAGTGTAGAATTCTGTATGCTCTGCCACAAAATTCTTGGTTACAGCTGTACTGATTTGACTGCATTTTGAGATTCTACTATTTTTCTTCAAAGCAATTTATACCATCTGCATCACATAGCAAAGTGACACAGTTTTACAGTAAGAAATAGACTAATTATGCTTGCTTTTGGGGGTATTGTCTTCTCTAACAATTTTAGAAGCCTTTGGTAAGGATGGTGTTGCCACCATTTCACCTCTCAGCCTTTTTTCCAATGTGATTTTATTTTGTCATTTCTCAAAAAAAAAAAAGCTGAACATGCTGTTGCAGTTTTCAAATACAGTCAGATTAAACCTCTTATTGCTGTAAGTATGGACAGAAAAAGTACAAAACCCAGAGTTCCTGGTCCGTGCTGTGCTTGCTTTTGTGATTATATTTTTGATCAGATACTGTTCTGTCACAGGCCCCTTAGAAAGCAGGAATGTTTCTCTGCTGCTGTGCAGAAAGTCCTTGGCCAGAAAAGCAGTAAAACCCAGAGATTCTGTATAAAAGTTTGACCATGCTTTCAGTGATGAGCTCTTCCAATAGAAAGAGATTTTAGCTGGTTAAGAACAGAGCAGAGAAAGAAAAAAAGATTCAAACACTACATTCTATATCCCAGTTTATTTAGATTTCCTACTAAGAAGCCATTTTTACTGTAGGCTTACTAAGGTACACAGTCAAATGTACACTGTGTGTGTTGTAGAATTTTTTGAAAGGATTTTGTAGTAATTTTTTGCAGAAGCTGGCTCAGTATGATCCAAGATATGTAAGAGATCTCATGGCTGAACTGATGCCAAGTGTTCTTGTAAATCAAATCAAAGCCACCTGCAGTGTTACAATATCCCCCCTATATCTTGCTGTATTGCTTTATTTGCTACCCATGTTAATTAATTTGTTCTCTTTTCTTTTTCTTTTTTTTTTTTGCTGTGGAGTTTTCCGGGAACAACTTCAGTCTGATTGCTATGGATCTGCTTTTAAATCAGTTTATTGAGACTCTGGCAGCAGAATATGCACAGTTTAAAAGGATACTTCATTTCTTGACTGGTCTGCACACACAGAAGGTAGCCAGGAGTTAAGGAGCTGTTAGGTGAGGATGAGTGTGTTCAAACCCCTCATGAGCAGTGTGCTACTGCTGGCCAGGCAGGCATCAGCTGGGCAGGAAGAAACAGGCTCTGGGAAGCACTTCCGACTGTTGCTAGTAGCTTTCAAAACCACATTTTAAAATGTGGTTCAGAGATGACACCACATTTGAACCTGTAGGGTGCCCCTTTGTCAGCGTGGGATACACTGCTGCACACATTTCATAATGGGACAAGATTTCAGAGTTACAATAAATGAAGTGATTTGAGGTTGTGACAGATTCACTTTGGCTAGTACATTTCCATATTCTATTGCAATCTTTTGGCTTCAATTAGTTAAAATTGTAAGCATGTAGAGTCCTGAAACTGGAAGATCTCAAAGACCTGACCTGGATTCCCTACTCCCTACTGCAATCTTATATGCTTTAGATTTGTTAGTGTGTTGGAACACACAATTTAAACCAGGGAGCATAAGTCTAGGGCTACTTGGGACCCTACCCCTTTAATCCTGTCTGCCAAGTAGTTTATTTGTGGCTTCAGTTTGACAAAAGATATTTTTTGTTTCCTGTCTATGTCACAAAAGCTGCTCTAAATTCTCCTCTAGAATGAAGTCTTTCCAGTAAGAGCAGAGATGCTCAATTTTGTGCCAGACACATGACTCCCATGGGGATATCTTTATAGAAGGTACCCAGTGATCACTGAGCTCTGTATGGATGAGTCCTCAGCGGAATGTGATGGGTACTAGCCCAGCAATCCTTTTGAGAAGTTCTTTTGCCTGTTTAATAGTGAATGAAATCAACATTTGGATATCTGGGAAAGTTTAGGGAGGGACTGCAGCTCAAAGTGTCTTCTGCTAGAAATGTGTCCTGTATTCTGACTCAGAAAACAACCAGATTAGACTTTTTGTGACAAAATCACTTTGTGGATGATCTTCCTACAGGAGAAGTGACCTGGTTTCCTCCACTGATGAGATGCTTAGCAGTGCAACATCTGTATGCAGCTGTCTCTGCTCTGGGGGGCCTAGAGCTGGCCAGCACAAACAGGGATCAAAGCAGGGCCCCATAGGAAAGGGCTGTGCAGCATGTGAAGTAGACACAATGATTTCATACAAATTTTTTCTTTCTCTTCAGTTTCCTGTGGATCACTTTAAGGTTGACATAGCTCAAACTTGTATCTTAAGGCCAGAAAATTGAGACCACTAGGTTGATGTCCACCGACTGGGAATTTAAGCAGTCAAAAACATGAAATTATTGCAGTCATGCAGGTTGTGCATGTGTTTGATTCAGAATATTTTCCTGTCTACTTCTGGCTGAACAGCAATCACACAGCAGCTGTCACTCAGTAGTAAAGCTTCCAAAAGTTGAAGGTAGCATGTTTTATATTGCCATCCATATCTATCTACACCCTTCACTCAGGATTTCTGATATAATGCTGTTGGCTTTCAACCTTTAAATAAAGCTGTTAGAGCTACGGAGTCCAAAGGAAATCATCCTAGTGATAAGTAAATTGTCCCCCCTCAGAGAAATCTAGTGCCTTTAAAGAGCTGGTTTTATTTGGAACATTATATGCTTCCAGAAAGTAACTGACTTTTTTCTTTGAGTGTTTGACAGACCAGATCAAATACCTGATTAACATATTGTTATGCTTTCTTGGCACATTAATCTACTTAATTTGAAAGCAATAGGGAAAAAGTAGAGACTTTTATGTGTAGAGACTGCTGCAGTCCTGCCTCCCTCTTACAGCAGAATAAACATAGCATTTTGTTGGCTGTAAAACTGTACCTTCCAATTTATTGACAACATAAATATTTCATGTGCCACTCTGCCTTTCAGTAGTGCTACTAAAAATTGAAACCAGGTCTTACTGGTTAGGTTTTGCATGCTTTTCATCCAGTTCAATCTTTCAAACAGATCTTTGATAACATCTAATTTCTAGAGCAGCTGTTAAAGATCCAGCAACCATCTCCCAATCTCCCATCAACGTTTCAGGCATGTGGAGCCCTTGTTCATTATCATTGTGACCACATTCCTATTCTTAGCAAGTTTCTCCTTTGCAGAGCAGCAGCCTACTCTACTGTGGCAACAGTCCACTTACTAATTTACAACTCCACCCACTAAATGCCACTGTGAATTATAAACTACTGAAGTAAACCATGTATTTTTAACAGCCTCAATTTTACCATCATGGCTGTTTATAAAAGTCAAAGACATTTTTGAAGGGCAAAAATGCTAAGTTGGCATTTCAGGTTGTTCTCAGGACATTCGCTGTTCCTCCACAGTAAGGTTTCCCCTTCTCTCTCCTTGAGAAAATCAGTATATTAATATGCTGCAAAGCACAAACTGGTTTATATTAACATTTCACTCTCTTTCTAGAGGAAAAAATCCGGAGAAATCTGAAGAAAGAGCCAAACTTAGGATCTTTCAAGTATTTCTGCAAATCCTTTGTGAGAGTGGAAAAAATATCCAGTTTCTTTCAGTTTCAAATAAATTTCCTTCTTTTATTAAGTCTTGTTTTATTAATATTGTGGTTCAGGAGAAATTTCTCATGGATATTTATGAACAGACAAAAATAGAGTTCAAGTTCTGTAAGTATTCAAATATTGTTCTGGCATTTACTGTTGTCATTCCAATCCTTTGTAACTCAATGCAGTTACAGTCAAGCACCAACATATTGTAAAGCATGTGTGATGCAGGAATAGACATTTATACATTTCTTTGCATACTTGTATTTCATGGGAGATTTCCCCAGACAGGAGCATTCAGAGGTGGCAGCCCTGTGGATTTCTCTTTCCGTGTGCACATGTAATAATGGAGGGGAAATCTTGTCTTCTAGTGACATGTTTCTAATAGACCCATCATTCCAAGATCTAAAGCAAAAAGAAGCTCAACAGAATGAAATAAATCCCAGCAGCAGAAACAAAAATTCCATGCTGCTGTGTAGCACAAAGTAATCTTTAAATCCTCCTAGGTACTGTTTGTGGATAGCATTCTTGGCAGGGTTCCACTCATGAACTTGGTGTGTTTGAGCACTACTCCCATCTGCTAGGAATACTGGGGAAAGTGGTACTGCAGTTCCTAATTTTCTTAAAATACTGCTTGCTAGGTTTTAGCTCTTCTGGCTTCAGTTAACCCAAGTTAATGTCTGGAAAAAGGGCAAATTTTATAAAATAAGCCTCCTTTCTTTCTAGCAGCCTAATAATTTCTCAGTTCTTAGTGTTATATCTGGCTTTAAATGGTGAATATGAAATCTTTAATTTCTCTTTGTCTGGTCACTGTATTTAATGAGCTACAGTTTTGTGTTAAAATAGGAACCTTCTGGCAAACTCACATTACTTGATC